ATACAATGGTAGCTAAACTTAAAAAGTTTAATTAGTTCCATCAGCACATTCGTAATTAAACAAAACAAACCAAAAAAAGTATGCAGAGGATAAAGAATACATGCCTGTAAGCGAGGTTACAGGCATGTCTGGCTGCACCTTTTGTGTTCAAACTGCCAATGTTTAAAGGGTTATGGCGTTTTGCGTTGCGTTTTGCATTACGCGTTGTCATGAAAAAGCACCACGAGTCCTTTACACCTAGCAAGCGATTTAAAAAAAATAAAAAATAAAAATAAAGAGGCAATAAAGCAAACCTTGTTGTTGAAATATAAATAAAGGCGAGAAACCAAACACGGCTCGTAATGAGCGTCGCCGCTTCAGCTTTTTATGCAATCACATCTGGTCCAACGCGTGTGAACATTCGACGGCCCTGCATTAAGGCCTCCCTCAAAGGTCCGCAACTCACGTGTCACTTTTGTCTCTAATGGACTAGTCGACTGCGACGACGACAACAAACGGCGACGAGAGTGATAAGACGGGGAGAAGTCAAAGTGATTGCGGGGGCGGGGGAGGGGTGGAGTCGGTGGCTGTGACAACAACTGACATCTCAGGGAATTTCACGGCGCCGGCTAATCCAATGTGATCGGCGGAAGATTTTAATATTTAAATAGGCCAGCAGAGGCACCAGAAGTTGCTAATTAAATTATAACTCATGCTTGAAAAGCAAAAGTGCATGTGTTGTGGGAGCCTGAATTATTCACGCCCGCCCTATATCCAGTCTTTCTGTTAACCTGCAGACAAATGGCACTTGCGAGGGGGCTTTTTAGATCTCTCGCTCCCTCAATCTGTGGATTGGGTGTGCCCGCGTGTGTGTGTGTGTGTGTGTGTGTGTGTGTGTGTGTTCTTGCAATGTCAGAAACAAGAGCAAGGCAGCCTTGCTAAGGTGGTGGTGGTTGTGGTGGTGGTGGTGGTGGGGGTGTTCAACCATCACGAGACAAATCCAAACGGACTGGCCACATGACTGAACAAGCTAGGAATTAATGCTGTGTGCTTAATTGGTTCATCATTGAGCAGCAGTCTTATAATAGTAATTACAGTAACTACAGTCGTGTCAGGGATTACTGATCAAAATGCCCAATCTCAGTAATATCTCTTAAAAATGACAAAAAAAAAAAAAAGGAAGGGCAAGAAAGGCATGATGTGGTGTCCATTTTAAAATGTGTGGATTTTTTTTTTTTAAATAGAAATATGTTTAGATATTTCAGTAAAAAACTTGTTCCATATATAAAATGCACATTTTGGATCATTCAAAATTCATTTAAAATATATATATATTTTTTTAAATAAATGGAAAAATGTTCATTGATTAGTACAATTGATTCCTTAAAAGTATAAAAACAATTCTACAATTAGTATAAAATTATTTGGTCGTCCTATTCAGTATTAGTAAGCTATTTGGGGGATTTTGTGAAAATATGACAGTGGGTTGAGTGGCCAAAACATTACAAGAAAATATTTGATGTTTTTTCATTCTTGTGTTTTAGATCATGCTTCATTCATTGATATGTATATTTTTTGATCATTTCAACCTTTTTGCTTTGAAAGAAATGCAAATGATTTGAAAAAAAAGGTAATTAATTTTGATGCTTCAATAATATATTTCTCTAGTTATACAAAGTTGAATATGTCAATAAAATATCATCTGTTGTATATTTGTGTTATTGTATTGTTTATTTTATTATGAAAGAAAAGGCCAAACTGGCAGATATTTTTTTCCTCTTTTTTTTTTTTAAATCAAGTTGTATGCCTAAGATAATTTTGGTTATTATTTTATGATTATATTATTTTGCTATTGTTGTAAAGTGGTGCACATTTTTCTTCCGTGTTTATGTTACCTGCATTCATATTATTTTTTTGTATATTTAAATACCGTCAAATGATTCACATTGCGTTTACAGAACATTAGTGACTCCACTCGTTTTTAGCCATCTCATCCATCCGTGATGTCATTTTGTCACTGAAAATGACATCACAGTTGCTCAGGTAACGACCAATCACAGCTCACCTGCTCTCTGAAGCTGAATTATGATTACTTTTAATTTTGGGGATGGGGAAAAAAAGGCTGACGTGGCTCTGAATGCTTTAAAACTTTTCTGCCATTTTTCTAAGATTGTTTGTATTACTAATTTTTTGAATAATTCAATAATGGCTGATGACTGTTGCATTCAGTGATTGGACGAAAGTATATGCCAATCATTATAAGGGCACCATTGATTTTATATGACAGTAAATCAAAACTGAAACGGCAGTAACTAGTCGTACACATTGTGTATTAATTTGAAAAGTCACATAAAGTCCCTCCCAACATTGTCATATCATAAAAAAAGATGACTCGTATGTGTGTGTGTGGTAATGAGGTGTCAGACAAGCTACGTTCCAGCGCACTATATCATCCTCCTTACCTGCTTATTAACTCTCCAAAAAGTATCAGGAAAAAAAAAAAGTTTATTAATTAATATGCCCTTGAAGGATGTATGAAACGCTCACAATATCTACGAGAAGCGTGAAATATTAAGCGCGGCCGGCATTCATATTAATGGCAAAATTACACATACGTCGGAGGGATTCAATTAGAAGCGGGAGTCGGCATTGATGGCGTGTTCGTGTCAAGCATATAAATGTACTTATAGCTCCGGGTTACAAGATTTTCATTCATTATTTTATATATATTTATATATATTTTGTCCTCGGCCAGGTATGTTCGCTTTGGGCTATTCGGCCCCGGCGGCGTTATTCCCGAAAAAAAAAGAAAAAAAAAAAAAGGAATTACATTTTTGATGGGAACTAATTAGACGGACCCTGAAATTCTTCCAGACTGTTGCGTCTTCCTGTGCCTATCACTTATTGAGGGGCGCTGGCTGTTCTTCCCTGGCTGCCAATGTGCTACGCAACAGTCGTAAATAGAGGCAGTAAAAGTTTGCTCTGACTTGGAATTGCCGTGTTTATTAGCAGTCTCCAGAACAAATGAGTCACGTATTACCTCAACCCTCCTACAACTCCCCAAAAGTCACTTCAAAAATGGGCCTGGAAAGCTACAAAAAATGTAAAAAATAAAATAAAATAAAATAAAATGGGAAAAAAAAAGCAAATCTCCGATCCCATTTTCACCATTTGAGATTCAGCGGATGTCAATCATTTTATTTTAATATTTTTTAAAAAGCGGGCTTGGCAATGTAGAAATAAATCACCCCCAACACCGGTTCTACAAATGGAGCTAAAATTGGGAGACAAGTCGATGGTAAAAAGACGCACAAAAAAGTCTCAGGGGCCCACGCTGGAAATTGAATTGGAATTTTGCATTAACCGAGCTGCTTATCCTCGGGAGGATCGTGGGTGTGCTGGAGTTCATCCCAGCTGCTTTCCGGCAGCAGGCAAAGTAGACCCTGAATCAGCCAATCGCAGGGCACACAATCACACCCGGGGACAATTTGAGTGCCCAATCAACCTACCATGCACATTTTTGCAATGTGGGAGGAAACGGGAACACCCAGAGAAAACCCACCCAGGTCCAAGGAGAACCTGCAAACTCCACACAGGAATGATTTCCGCATCAAACGATGGCAGAGTTAAACTTGCGGATGAAAACTTTTGAGCAGACGGGGGGGTTGAAGACATTGGTTGTTTGTGGTGTCTGCGCAGCCTTTAGCCTGTCTTTTCAAACACACTGCCCCCTCCCCTCCCCTCCCCTCCCCTCCCCACACATTGGCCCCGGGGCGTCTCCCTCTGCCTCTGGCACGACAGAAACAAATAAATGTAATAAAATAATCGCCTTCAAGTTTGTAATTGTTGTGATCAGAAAGAAATGCTTCTCAAGAAGCCGGCGACGGGCTTGATTAAAGAACGCGCGCGACTTCAGTGACAACTCGGCATGATTAATTGATGGCAAACAGTGGAATTTGCGCGCGTTGCTTTGAATAATGTTCAAAAACTGGCGGCCTGTAATAAAAGCGCGGCAAGAAATTCCAGCTCATTAACATTTCATGGGCAAATTCTCTTTCATATGAAAGAGCCAATATAGGCTGTCACAATCCATCAGGTGTCCAGAGAAAGTGAGATGACACGCTGAAAGGATGGGGAATATGTCAACTGTGGCGCTCACGCCGCCTCTTTCGGGTTGTCACTTTGCCCGTGTTCGCCTTTAAACCGACGCTGTTAGGAAATGTGGCAGCTTTCAAACACTTGTGCGGTGGCTGGGTTGGGGGGGGGAGACGGAAAAAGTGATTTTGCCATCACAGAACCTTTGGCTGACAGGAGCCACGGGAGGCTGAGGGGGGAGGCGCGCAACGCCGACGAGTGGAAGTCTTCGCTTGTGATTTATTATCCGGCGGCTGCATCTTAACGTGTGTGCCTGCCCCGCCGTTAGAGAATCTTTGTGACCGTCCCACACCGAGGCAATCGGCCGAGCTCCGTGCCGGTATCTTGCTCAAAGGACACATGGACATGGTCACAAAGGGTGAGGATGGAAGACACACGCACCTGAGGCACAACATTAGTTTCCCACCCCCTGTCACGGAGAAGCTTTGCCAGCTCCAGATCGACAAGAATCTTTGGACGATTTTGAACGTCAAGGTCTCCCTGTCAACATCCATCCCCACACCTTTGTCATTCCCGTGACTTCGGCAACCTGTGCCAGCATCTGTTTCTACCACCCCTAAGACAATCCGTCGATCAGCCCTAACATTAAAAATATATGGATAAAGCAATTCAGTTCAGTGCGAGTCGACTGGCTGCAACTTTTTACATGGAGCGGGAGGTTCAATGCTCGTGCCCTTGTGCTTGTTGGCCAGATCATTTGACAATTGAAGATATAGCTGGACAATTTGATCACGACTACATGATAGACAAGTATGTGAAATTCTTTTGTCGTGATCGAAACCAGATGTGTTCGGATGGAGCCGTAACTTTGACTTGCCGTGCAGGTGGAATCATTTTGAAGAGAAGCTACATTGAGCTAAATTGACGTCAACAAGGACAAAAAAGAGGCAGAGGAGATCTTCCAGAGGACTATGAGAAATCGTTTGGAGTCTTTCAAGTCGGCAAAGATGGGCATTGCTCCAAAGACAGTCGCAAAGTACCCCAAAAAAACTCCATGACCTTAAGGTCAAGTTCGACCATGCATTTCCTTTTGCTCTGACACAAAATGCCTTTTCCGAAACAGCTAAAATGATGTTTGGAATCGAATATCGGGAGGGGGAAAAAAAAATGATTTCATAACTGAACTCTTGCTCTTGCAGATGTCAAGTGGGAAACTTTACCGTTACGGTAACGAAGGTAAGAAGATAAGGCAACTCAAGCGATGAATACACTTCATTAGGGACACTCATAACATACTGATTTTCTAGAGCCCGATATCGGAGAGGAGGACAGCACCTCCAGCTTCGAGGCATCAGATGATTCACTCCCAGTGAAGGTCCTCTGGAAAGCGGAAGATGGAATACATCCATCTTATCGGTCGTTTTTAAATCACAATTAGTACTACTACTACTACAATACAGTCCTGTTGCCATCTCCAACCATTTTTTTTTTTTTTTTTTACATTTAGCTGAAAATGAGAAGCCGGCCTTCATGTTGGAAATGGAGTCTGCAGCATCAACACTAACCCCACCCTGGTTGTCGGCGACGGAGGCCGATGGCAACACAGCGGCCCCGTCGGAGCGGGCTTTAGTTATCATACATTCGATTATTCTTAAATTGATTGATTGATTATGATTGCAAAGAAGAACGCTTATGCCTGCAATCATTAATTGACTATGCCTGCAATGAAGAACGCTTATGCTTTTAAAAAAGATAGAATGCTTCATAATCATTATATGTTCATCATTATGTACTCACATTTATAATCCTTTTTATTCATGATATACTCACATTGATAATCGAGAATGCTTAGTGCACTGTGTGGCAGTTTAGGGACGCAACCACCTTTTTGAGGACGTGGTTGGGAAGAGATAAGTGTTAAGACTAAACAGGAGCAAGGTTGAACAGCGGATGGAGCCATCAACACCGGCTACAATGTGATGTTTTTGTAACAATTGCACACATGTACGTAATTTACACTTACATACACACACATAATCACACGTTCAGTGTGTCTTCAACAGCCCCCCACCCTTTAGGTTGGACACACCTATGTACTGTAGTAGATTTCCAAATAAATGAGGGGGTGAAGGGGGAGATCGTTAGGGTGACGTGCAGAGAACTGAAACCTAACGCTTCTCCTCGTTCCCTACCAGAATTGAGACTCCTGTCTCCTCTTTGTGTTTTATTCCCAAGTGTCAAATTGATAAACCTGACAGATATGTAATATGCACAGCTTTTTATGTATGAAGATAATCTATTCAATTAAAGTGACGTGAAGGGTTCAGTGTAGCATTAAATAGATTTTTTTCATTGGAATCAAAAAGTACACTTGTCCACGCCCCATTATTGCAAACTTAAGAGGAATACGCAAAGCCCGATGAGGATCGATGACACAATCACGTGGCCGTTATTATTTGACGAAGGGAGCTCAGTCAGCACAGAGAGACCGCAGCTCTACAAGAAGGTTCCATTACAACGCCGCGCACCCCTAATGGCAGCGCCCCAATCTCGAATGGCGCCTGGACGCAGCCGAAAGGAGAAAATAAGTCGACAAAATCTAATCATCGAAAATGCTGACCCCCACTGAGTGGCGCAAAAATAGGTGGTCTGTCATTTGCTAGTCTTTTCGCTTTTTCCCTTGTCAAGGAAGGGTTTGGACACTCCTGGCTAACTCAATTGGTTTCACACAAAACATTTTCTTTGTCATACGCTTCCTATTAAAATGTATTTGAATGAGCGAAAACAAGAGTGGTGATGAGAGAAGGATCAGCAACACACATCAGTTGACTTTTGCAAACTACCCTTCAAAATGCCAGAATTATACTGAGACGTGATCCTTGAAACAAAAATGAATGAATAAATAGCAATTCCAGTCGCGTGAACTTGACTCGACCAGGAGTCATGTCAAGGTGAAACTAAATGCTTGAAACACAGCACAGACTGACTGGTAGACACTCGTCAACATCTTTGGGGATCAGGCTACGACAATCGGCATGAGTTTAGGTGTAGGAATGTTGCGCCCCACCTTGGCTCTATCTATTGCATTGAAGAAGGGCTACGGCAACTTTTTACAGTCGTCAGTGGGTGAAGATTTCCGCACTCCCATACTGGAAATACGTCATGAATCGAGGACAGCAATGAACGTGGCAGTGTGGCGCCCTAGCTAGCGCCTTCTATTGATCAGCCACCACTGTCCCAAATACGTACTCCTGATTAGCATACGGAGGTGTGTGCAGAAAGCTCCAAGGACCATCCCGCTAGGCCACCGCCAAAGCGGTTTTGCCGGCGGACATCGACAGCATTTCCCCGACTGTCAGAAAATGAGACAGCAATGCCGAATCGACCAGTTCTGGTATTCTTTGGCTACGGGGTCAGCACTTGTGGATGCCGGCTTCCAATATCGCCCTCATGGAGTCCCTTTCGGACCGATTTGGCGGATTTTGTCGAGTGGCTCTTGTTTTTGCTGATGTTCTGCCACTAGGTTGTTGCCCTCCCCCGATTACACGGAGACACCCCCCCTCCATTCCCCACCTGCGGTCCCAAAGTTGTTGTAACCTTGTGGCTAACATGTTGTGACCCATTGCCTCCATCACACCCCTCCGGCCATTACCTCTGTCGTGGTGCGGCCACGGGGAATAGGCTGCATTAGTAGAGGGAGAAGTGTGGAGGTGTGATATGGATGGTTGTCACTTTTGGAACAGCGAGGACCAGTCAATTCACACGAGCGAGAGCGATTGGACAACGTACAATGCAAAAATTTTTCACTTTACTTGTGTTTTTGTAGCCTGTTTTGGTTCATTGTTCATTCCCCTCATAAAAGTTAACAATGGACTATTTTCTTTTTCGCTTTGAATATTAACAGAGGTTCAATGATTTTGACCTTGAATGATACGTCAAAATGTTTCCGATCCCAGCTCGTTTTTTCGCGAGAGGCGGGGGTACTCCTGAAAGGTCTGAAGAGAGAAGAACATAAAGGAACAATGAATTGTGACGTATCGAATGTTCTGAAATCTGATGTTAACGTTTGTATCAGCGATACCAGATGTAACGTATCCAGGAGACAACTGTCACCAGTTTGGGGGTGCCTGAAAAGATAAAATCCGGTATCAACAACCGGATGGATGATACCGGCCGTAGAAGAAAAAGGCCATCAATTTGAACAGTTGGAGGAGTCTAAAGATAAAAATAAACTGTCCAATATTTTGAAATCTGTTATCGAAATGCGATATCAGCGATATCGTGTCTTTGAGACGGCAATGATTTGAAGAGCCCGGAGAGGTTATCAGTATTTTTTTTTTTTTTTAAAGAACATTAGGGCCGCAATTAATAATCAGTTTAGAAAGTGATCATTTTGGCGATGAATCAAATCAATCCCTGGTTTGTCTGTCTTATTTTGAAAAGACACAAAGGCAATCAGTCTATTTTTATGGAAGATTCCAGAAATTTCTGAATCGTTACTATTGAAAGGCTGGACTTCCAAGGATTTCGAAGATTTTATACTCAACGAGATCTCGAAACGATTAACTGATTATCAAAATTAATTTTCGATGAATGTGACCATTAATTAGTTGTTTAATTGATGAATTGTCACACCTTTAAAGAACATCACAATGTTATTCTCCAATACAGTAACCACAACGAGCAAAATCCCACAAGTAATTCATGGCCACCCAAAAAAAAAAACCTTTGCAATTACTCACAGATGCCACTAGGTGGCAGTTACACTTTTTCCGATCATGTCGAAACAAACCTCCCCCTTTTCACTTTAAAAATGCCACAAGATGGCGTCAAAGCAAATTTTTTTTTTTTTTTAATTAGAACCCCCAAAGCAGTCAAACTGAGTTGCATTAGTTCGTTCTATTTCCAAATGTCACATCGATGGATGGATGGATATCGATATATCATATATATGTAAGTTAACAACGGTTTGGATCGTACGAAAGCCCGGAGGAAAAAAAAATAAAAAATATGCGCAGCATCACGTCAGCCGCTCCCACTCACACACACGCACAGCTAGTCACACCCTGATTAAGACTGACTCGCACCTCATCAAGCGCCCCCTCTCCGGAGACGAGACGGCCTCATTACGGCAGACAACAATGACACCGTGACTCTCGTGCTAATGGACTGGCAAAAGTTGCGTTGCTGCCCCGGACCGAAGGCTCGCGCGAGCATGAAACCCGACGCGATGGCAATGCCTCGTGGGCAAGTATTATTCTGACTGTATATCATTAGCGGGAGTGCGTTTTCTAATTAGCGACGGGGCGGAATAATGAATACGGCTCCATTAATCAAAAGGTAATATATGTAAAAGTAGTGTTTCGTGGCCTCGGGGAAGAGAGTGAAAGGTAGGGGAGAGAAAAGAGAGGGAGGGGGGCGCAGGGGGGCGGCACGGAGATGTGAAAACAGCAACGGTGAGGAGAACGTTGCTTTGGATATTCGTTTACACGCATTCTTTTTATTCTATTTACTCTGCTTGCTCTTTGGCGCCAAGCCGGAAAAAATGTACAAGGCCGCATGCGCTTTCGATTTGACGTGTGGCACAAATTGTGGCCCTAACGTGATCACTTAACAGGAGAGTGTTGAATTTTGTGTGAATTCCCAAGAAGGTCCCGAGTGGTCCGCCTGTTTTTTTATTTATTTATTTTTTTGATTATACAGAAGACGATTCATAAGATGAGGTCCTCGGTGATGTAATCAAATGAATTAACAGCGTCGTGTTGCTTTGTGCCGCACTCTGGGACTTCATCATCAATATCACTTAGCTTTACATTTTGGGAATCAACTTGATTCCGTGGACCAAGAATTTGAGATGAAAAAAAAGAAATGATACATTCAATTGTGGGATCCAAAACATTTGCAGTTAATCAATGATTAACTGTTAAGAATGACTGAATATGAAATGAATGAATTCATGGGTTCAATTTCTCCCTTGAATTTTGCCTGGATTCAAGTTTGGCCGTTCTGCTTCTTCTTATTACATTCAGAATATGCTGAGTAATTATTATAATTACAATGATGACCAAGTTCAGGAATATTTTATATAGTGTAGTACCAGAATAAAGTTAGGTTAATATAGATTTTTAAAATATTCTTTTCTTTATTTGCAGTGTTTGTGTTGGGGGAAAAATGCACAATAATATAACAATATTCAAATTGAAGTTATTTTACGAAACCTCCCGGAATATTATTATTATATTTAATAAATTAGATTAAAAAAAACACGTAATTTACGATAAGACATTTTTTTTAAGACTAAAGTCACATTTGTCTGAGCAAAAATGTATACAGTAGTGTAGATTGGATAAACATTTAAATGCTTGAGATACACTTATATAGAAAATAACGTCAGAGTTTTTTGCCGATGTATTTATAATATGCAGAGAATAAAACTGCCTTTTTTTGCTAAAGTCTTGTAATAATTCACAAGATTTTTTTTAGGGGGGGGATAAATCCTATTTTGAGAATAAAGCCTTTTTTGGGGGGTCGGGCAAATAAAGAGCAAAATCCTTTTTTATTTACTTTTTTGGGGCTTAAAATCGGCGACTCCTTGCTTTCTGGAGATGAACAGGAGTCTTAACGACAACATCGAAGTGATCCCCAGCTTTCCCCGGCCTTGGAGAAAACCTTTCTTCAAACATTTGCACCTCGCAGCCCCGAAAGCGAGCCGACCCGTCTCCTCGTGACGACGGCGCCTTTTCACGGCATCCCCTGGATATAAATAATCTGCAAATGCATGAATCCACAAAAGGGGCAGTCTTCACAGGACAGAGAGAAATAGAAAATGCGAGTCAATCCCTTTGAAAAATGCATGCGTTTTTTTTCCCAGGAAAACACAGCTGGGCGAGCGCACAACGTTGATCACCTCAACTGAGACTACATGGTGTGTTAGCATTCAAATAAATAAAAACAGCATCCGCCTACGTGTCAACCTATATTTACAATGTTGTGTGGAAATCCTTTTTATTTGTTTTAGCATAATTCTACAAAGAAGTCACTAACTACTTGCAGGAATGACCAATTGGACAAACGGTCTTCTGACTGACTGACGAGCTCACTAGATGACAAACGCAATCAAGCACATCCTCGTCTAATGTGTCATAACTTGAAACTAATCTCACATTAACCTTTAGCTTAACCATGCTAAATGAACTCAATTTAACCAGTTGACTACCTACCAAAACTACTCTAGGATAATCTAACCAAACTTGGGTTAGCTCAACCCTACCTACTTACGCATATAGACGAAAAAATCATCAGCACTCACACTCACGTCTCGGGAGAATTTGGAGTGGTCCATTAACCACCATTATGTTTTGGGAATGTGGGAGGAAACCGGAGTACCCGGAGAAAACCCACGCAGGCACGGGGAGAATATCCAAACTCCAGACAGGAAAGCCGGAGCCGGAATCGAACCCTGCGCTTGCCAGTCGATCATCGGACCTCTTGACCGACCAACAAACCAAATTTGGAAATGCTGTAGTTTTTTTTTTTGGGTTATCCTGTTAACATAGTTAGTGATCTTCACTAACTAAGTAATTAACTACTGATTGGCTGACTAGCAAAGTTTTATGTATATTGTTAATCATATCAATAATAGTAATCCTGTTCACTAACTTAACCTACCTAATCAAAAATGAAAAATCTTACAGGGACAGGATGGATGAAGTCTTGTGCATATTTTTCTATTTGGTAGGTTCAACATAATCCTGCAAAAGTTTGTTCCTTCTTCCGTTCGGCTCAGATATTCTTTTCCAACACTGGTTACACGGGTGTACCTAATATTGTGTCCAGTGAGAAAAAGAACAACAACAACAAAAAAAAAAAAATCAGGCAATTTATGCAAACCTGCTTAGTGGTTCAATTATATCAAAATAAAAGCAAATCAAGAGTAAAGCAAGAATAAAAGGGGGCGCCAAGTTGTCTTTATTCGTCATTTTGTCTCCTGCTAGCGCCTGAAAGCCGCTTGTCTACTTCCTCATTCCATCTCATCAGTGGCATTCACCTCCTAAGCAGGAAGCGGGGAACGTATCGGTGCTATCAAAGTGAGACTTTTGTCATGTTGCATTGGAACCCACCCCACACTAAATACCGTGCACATACACACGTTCCAACACACACTTCTGATCACGCCATTGTTTGCTGATATGCTGAGTGAAAGACAACGAACGAATTATGGATAAAAGAGATGCTTCTTGCTCACCTGCTTCACACTCTTACCTTCTTCTTCTTCTTCTTCCAAGCCAGCCCAGGGACACCTGGCAGTTCCAATTAGTGAGGACACAGCGGGCGACCAGTACATTTGCTTACAAGACAAAAAAAAAAAAGCGATGGATGATGAAAACAAATGAGCTTGCATGCTCGTTGCCCATTCTTTCTTTCTCATGTTATTTAAAATCTTGACTTGTTTATAGTGTTCCACTCCAGTCCACTAGCTCGCAGTAACATCTCCCCCGACTGGGTCACTTCCCCACTTGGCCGCAGTGCCTACGGACTATAATGGTGAAAAGTGAAAATCAACTTGATCTCGATCTGATTGATCTCCGATTTCCACAGAAATGAAGTTAGTTAGCTGGTTAAACCGATGAACTAGCATAATAAAAAAAGTGAAGAGATGAAAAAAAAATTAAATTGCATGTTTGTCGACAATCAGTGATTCAATCAGTCACTCAGTCAGTCAGTCAGTTAGTTGGCAGGATTACACTAAAACTAAAAAACTCTTTCCCACAAAACTTGAAACTAACAACTCCCCGCCCCCTAAATCAATTAACAAAATAAACCTTTTGTGAACTAGCTACCGAACTAGCTAGCTAGCCAACTAACTAACTACCCAACTAGCAAACACGCTTCTCCATTCTCCAAATCGAATCCATTTTGAATATTTCCAGAGATTTTCTTTTGCCGATGGGCCACCCTTCAACAAAACGACATGAAAATCAGTTCTAGAGATTTGGCATACTTCTGCTCACTAAAAAACGAACAGACAAAATAACTACCTGCAATAAAAGCAACCTTTTACCTCATAATTGTCGAAGGATGACACATTCCACTTGTCGTCCCCGGAATTTTGTCATTTCCATTCATGAAACAGGTTATTCCGGAATCCCCTTTTGGTGGCACCATTGGATCCCACTCCCCCAAATTTAGCCTTCCTCCTCGCCACCAGATGGCGCTTTTGCCCTTCACATGGTGCCCATGCAGAGCAGCAGCGCCATGAATGAAGTGATCAGGTATCAGGCCCATATGGGAAGATCCGGTGTGATGTTCCCGCACTCCTCGAGGTCCATTATTCATAAGGATGCCTGGCGGATGCTAATGAATTCTTTCTGCAATTATTAGCATTCTGTCAAATATTTAGCATTATACTTTATTCATCCGACGCGCTGTAGTCTTTCGCTGTCGCGCGTGAATTATGCAGTACGTCTGCTTTCATGGAGTGTGCGCGTTGACGCTGGCAAACTCTCCAGTCAAAATATATATACATTTCGATTGCATCCTTGTTAGCGGTTGGAATGTAAAGCATTTGTTTGTGTGGTGAATCGGGCGCACGCGGAGAGCAAGGATCAAGGCAGAGTGTAGAAATTGTCGCTTTTTTTGGGAGGGAGGGGGGGGGGATTCCCAGTTGTGGTGGTCTTTAACACCGATTTCATTACTTGTACTCATATTGAAGGCTGTAAACGTGGCCTACAACCAGTGGTGGTGTAAAGTAACCAAGTACTTTACATAATCTTTGTAACTATACTGTTTGGGTAAAATTTGACAACAATAGAAAATATCCTAAATTTCATTCAAATGTTCATTCTCAGGTTTAATTACTTCTTCTACAGCAACCCGCAAAAAAAAAAAAAAAAAACAACACAATAATTTAATTTCTTTTGTGTACATTTGGACTCTTCCAGGCCATATCTGAGCTGTGTGTACTCACATGGATTTTAGATTTACCAGTGTGTATTCAATTCAGAAAACTGGTGGTAATGGTGTGAATCTGTGAACGTGTGCATGCCCGAAAATGTATTGTTCCAATAAGTAAGTATGGTCTCTGTTTTTGTAATACAAATTTGCCCTGTGGAAGAAAAAAAAAAAAGAAGACATTTTTGACTCGTCCGGTTTAAAAGGAAGGCAAATGGTAAGAAAACTTTATCTTATGGACAAAAATGGAAATCAGCGATAGTGAATTTGCAATAACCAAACCATTAAAAAAAAAAAAAAAAAAAAAAAAAAAAAATTGGGCCAAATTATTAAAATAGATGTTGCATACAATTGTTGGCGGGGAAACATTTTTACAATTTATTTTTTACTACTTTTTTAAAATACTAAGTAAATATACCACACATCTACTTTTACAAAGTTCCAAATACACAGGGTGAAGCAGCACTTAGCTGTTATGCTGCACACAAATGACATAATTAAGGTCTTTGAAAGCATTTTAAAATCAATTTCACTATAGGTTGTTTCATGTTAGAAAGCTACTTTTTATTTCTTTGCTTTCGAATGTCTTGAACTGTTTTGTTTGTGAATGCTTTTAAGTGTACTTCTACTTACATACAGAGTGTGAGTACGTCTGCCATCTCGTTGCAAAATGCCAAAGCTGCTGCACAAACAAACAGAACGCCGCTAGCACCGCTACAGCCCTTCACGCTCCGGCGCTCATTGCTAGGCCACCCAGGGGGAGCCCTGTCCTTCACGGGACCTCCACCTTGAGCTGCCCTGTTAACGCCTTTTGCTACCTGCCTTGACAAGCACAGGAACAGGAACAAAGCACAAGGCAGGAGTCGTACACTCAAATTACGCATGGTCGCCCTCATGAGGGAAGCAAACGTGTTTCCAGGCACATTTCGAGGGATTATTTCCAGTCTTGTTGGGTGTCGTTAGTTGTGGAGAGACAAGTTGTGCAATTCGAAACTTTACGATTAATCGTACGTTGATCGGATGAGTTTATAATCATGATTGTATGAATTGGTGTCAGAAACATTTGCGAAAACTGAAACAAAGTTGAGTAACGCATCCTGATTTTTGACAAAATTCCACAAATCGTTTTTTGGGGTGTTTTCGGCACAGATCCAAAAGCACCATGAAACTCTTGAAAATCATGCCAAAGTGACCTAGCCTTTGGATAAATTTGTGTCGCCACCCTTTATCTTAACGTCATGATGCTAGGTCATTACATTACAAACACGGACCACAGCTTTCAACATTGGGAACCTGAAAACCATGACAACTCTCATTAAGTGGGACTTTCTCAAAATACGATTAGCATTTCTAATGCCGACCTGGCTTACGTTTTTAGAAAATGGGACAACCTTGCAATAAGGAAATTTGTGTGGATGCTTCTATGTCACAGAGCTCGATGGCTACATGATAGCATTGCTAACATCAATTCTGCCTGCATGCGTTCTCAGGCTTTCCTTTTTGCCACGATGCTAGGTGGCTAGGTGTTAGCATTATGAACGTCAGTCTTACCTACTCATAACCCAGTGGTCATCTGATGTCAATTAAATATCAAGAGGACATGAAAATCCAATATTCAGCATCAAAATGGTGTCAAATCAATGTCACGTGCCTGCTTGGATGACTAAAGCCACACCAACTTAAACATGTCACTCTAATTTAGGAATATTTGTTCCAACTCAAAAGTTTGGACGCTACATGTCAACATTCCTAACACCGACCAGCTTGCACCTTCGGGAAACTTTGAAAGCCATGGCCATGTGGCTTTGTGTTAGCGTCACCACTGTAGATTGTCCATCCCTGCATGCTAGCGTTCTGGCATGAATAAACATTTGGGATGTGAGAAATGAAATGTTTGGTGCACCCGGGCTTCGAATGAGCAAACATCTGTGTTGCGAGCAGAGGCTCATAGCCCTCTGCCCTCAGTCTGCTTCCCGGAAGGAGGTCACGGCTCACATGGCTGGCAGCACGGACCCCACCGGGTAGTGCTAATTACGACAATAATGGAGCTGGATCGCGGGTCCTCGTGGGCCACATCTGCGTGCAAGCGCAGATGCGTGCTAGCTACCGAAGTGCGTTTCGCCTGTTGTTCCAGATGATCTCAGAGCAGTACCCTGCAACGCCACCTGATGACTTGGCTGGTTAGAGAGTGTTAAAAAGTAAGTCGGTGCTAACATAGCGTGGCTAATAAGCAGATGTTAGCGTAAGCGTACACTGACGCTGTGGGGAAACAGGGAGGGTCGGGTCAGGGAAGTGATGTTAGCGGTAGGGTAGCTAGAAGACCGGAGCTGGGGGTTCCTGATTAGTGCACATAAATAATGCAGCGGGCCACGCTGGCGAGAGGAGCTGATTGGATGGGTGCGGTGTAGTGATGATGGGGGGGACCTGTGTGAGGTCGCAGCTTTTTAAGTCAATCAAAAAACCTGACCAAGAATACTCTCTGTTAATAAACCAAGTAGCTCTGACAACCTTGGAAAATGAACACATTTTGAACATTCGGTTGCTCCTGTACTTGTGCCATGACATACTGCTTGATTTTGTTTCAAAGTAAATAAATATTAGACACAAACACAGTCGTGAACTAAGCTGAATGTTGGTACTTTGTGTTCATAAACCAATTAAGGACGATGAGATTCTTTTTTAAAATATTTGGCTGATCGTTTTTTGTTTTTGTTTTTTTGCATGGCGAGTGAACACTCACATTTCTATCAAGAATGGAGCTGACAGTTGTTACTTTGTGGTTACAAATCAAGTTCCAGCCTTGCAAAATGCTCTTCCGCTACTCACCTCTCATCTTATTTTACGTTTTGGATGTGAAGCAAGGACTCTCAAAACGGTCATGTACGGAGCAGGCTTAGTTAAACCAATAACAGACAACTTTGAAAAACAAATGCATCAGAAGTTATTCTATGATACCCTGCGATAGCTTGTAGCATTGGCCTCACCTGTCCACTCTAAGAAGACATGACAGCACCGCATGGATCATTAACCCTCATGTGGCTGCAGTCTACCATTGTTTCTTTTTTTTTTTTTTTTTGCACCAGGGATGCCGCTCTGGCGAGAGAGACAGGGTTCGAAGGTCAAACCCATTACTGAGGATTGAGAGAGCGCCTGTTTTGGTGGGTGACATGTTCAGGTGTTGCTATAGAAACACGGATTATGAACTCTGGCTTCCATGAACTTCAGCTGAGACTTGAGGACCAAAGGAGAGCACGACTCTGGTGGTGGTTACTGCGAGGCACCATTGAAGCGGTCAATCAATTGGCACAAAAGCAGGAATGCGTGAGGAGGACAGCGTGGACAATGATGCAGGACACGCCCAGTTAGTTGTCACCACAATACAGAGTTCAGATCGCCTTGCCTAGCCCCGTGTTAAAATACTGCCACGATCATGCCGCTTCACAACAAACAATGGCAAGAAAATAAAGTGATGGAAAACGCATCAATCAAATTCTAAGCAGCGTTACAAAAAGTGATCCACCAAGACCGGCTTCACAGATCAACACAAAAATCAGTGGGAATGATGATGATGATGGAAGCAGGAAAAAGTCTCACGGGCCCGAGTCTCAAACTGAACAGGAAGTCAGTCATTTTGTTTTGCAGCAGCTCTTTGGGGCAAAAGTTCCAACACCTATACTTGGACAAACGACAACAACAACCAGTCTCAATCAGAAGCAGTTATCCGAGACAGAAGGTGTGAAGCTTCTTTTTGCCTTGGCCAAATTTTGTAGGTGAAGGGATCATGAGGGGGGCACATCGAGGGATCATGACAACTGAGGCCTGGAAAGAGATCTACCCCCGTTTCACTGATCAACACGAAATTAAGTGGACGTGTCTGTTATAACAGAATGCATGAAAAAGTCTCAAGGATTGATGCTTGAAATGGAAAACGGTTGGTTTGAAGCAGCCATTTGGAAGAATTTCTGGGCCCATACCTGAAGCAACTCCGAAAAGGGAATTTGCCTAATTCAGCTATGACAAGAACCAAGTGAAGTCGCCATAAGCCATCGACGGACTACTTCAACATTTTCCATCAAACTTCAATATGGAACAATAGAAAACTGTGACATTCGTGACAAATCCAAATCAAATTTTAATTCCACAACTGAGGTCTGGGCCCTCAAGCTAGCGAGTGCTAGAGGGCGCAGACCCCCGCTGAGGCCAAAATGTCACTTAAGTTTTTTTTTTTTTGGCAGTATCCAAACAGACAAATGAATAAATAAACGCAGGTTGAGGCCAGTACTCTCGAGTGGTCAACTCCAACCATAGTTTTGCTTACAAGAAGCTCAACGGTGTTAACTCCATACATGTCAACATAACCATTTTTCTGTTCTTTGTCAAGTCAAAATACAGTTTCTATGTCACCCTATCCTGAATCTAGATGTGTTTCGAGCTAGTGAAGCGGCTACGTAGTTCCACCCTAGGACAACCGAGTCAAACAGTACCCAAGAGCTCACAAAGGCACGCCGCTGATATTTTTGAGGATCAAACCAACTAAGCATTAATTGCCAACCAAAAACACAAATCGCACAGCCACACCGCGTTTCCTGTGTGGGCGCACGCAATGACAGTTGAGAGTCAAGTCCGGATGAGGGCATGCATCTGTAACCGAGAGTGAATCCATATTACATGTGTAGCGCTCTGTCTGTCTGGGTCCCGGCCATCAATTATGAATAGAAATATACAGCTTGCACAAGGCAGAAGCCCCAGTGTCAGGGCACTTGTAAAGGATTTCATAAAAGCGGTCACAGACACAGGTTTTTGTCATTCACATGCACGCCAGGTGGACTTAAGAGACAACCACAGAGGGTTGTCACCATTCTGCACATGATCCATGCCCGGGGAAAATTTTTGTCACATTTGTTCCAACTGCTCCCCTGTTGTTCCCGCTTAAATCAGACACCAACATATATGGACACAGGTGGCGGGACTATGTGAGAGATGTGATTTTATTTATTTCTTTATTTTGCACGACGATGACTCCATCATTCATTTAACAGAAACAACAGTTGGGAAGAATTCTGAGTGGCGTCCCTCAGGGAAATGTAATAGATGTCGATTAAGTAACAGTGATGGCCAAGAAGAATTTTGAGTAGAGTTCCTCAAGGGAATGTACTAAATCTGAATTTTGAAAAAGGTTGAACAAGAAATTCTAACAAGCACAGTCCAAAATCATGCAATATCAAAGCAAAAAAAATCTTCCACAAACTAATGTAACTTCATATTTTATTTTCATTTTCACTTCGGTGGGTGTAATTGAAACTTTCATTTTCTGTAAAGGTTGAACCAAAAATCTACGCATACACATTCAAAATTAGAGGAATATTCACTCAAAAAGAATTAGGGCCTCCTGTTGATCTGCATAAATGGAAAAAAAATAGGTTGTGTTAAAATGTTATTCCATTTTTACTTTACATAATTTTCACTCGTCCCAAAACTTTTTTTCCATGTAGTGTAGCTTGCATACATGATTTTGCATGGTGATGGCTCTGACATCCATCCAAAATAAAAACAATCAATCAACAATCATTTTAGTGGAGCTCCTCTGGGAACTGTACTGGATCCATTCATTTTCTAGAAAGGTGGAGCTCCGACTCTAAAATATAATCAGGCTATCAATATCAACATGTTCAAGGGCCTTAAAGCATTGTCACAAATGTTCTGCTGCACGAACAAGGATAAAAAAAAAACAGGCACAAGCCCTGTAGAAACACAGTTTTTTTCGATCTTCAATACCAAAAGATGATACGGTCCAATCAGGAGGGTCCTGCGACAATGTTAAACCCAACAACTAAATACAGAAACAGTCAGATCACAAGATTTACCCGGTTGTTTCATTTCACACTTGATGGGTGGAGAGGCACTCCGCAACCCCAACTATTTGTTTACAAGCCATTAAAAAGTCAATTATTCATTATACGTCCCTTTTAACGATGCCTGTACCGCATATCATGCCATTTTGTTCCAACAAAACAACAACAGTATCAAACACGCCTTGTAGACAAGTCATTAATCAAAACAGTGAGCCACCCGGTTGCTCGGGAAGAAAAATAAAACACCCCAAAAAATTAAACAAAACACTCCACCTTTGAGCGTGTTTATGTACAAAACACTCGAGCCGAGTTACACGGCACGTGTCGCCGGCGAAAAACAAATTTGCAATTCTCCTTGTCTTATTCCCAAAGCGCCCCGGTGTACGACACCAGGGGCCCCCGCCGGATTCAGAACAAACAGCGGCTAAGATGTTTAAAAAGCCCTCTGCTGTCTTAACATACCTGTGCCGCTGAATACCAATAGGCTGCTCTTACGTTACGAGGATGAGGAAGAAGAGAGGGGAGTGGGTATGGTGACAAGCAGCTAGCGGGGGGGGGGGGGGGGGGGGGTATCCCCCCCGGGGGGGGGGGGGGGGGGGGGGGGGGGGGAGTTAACTCCTCCGGGTTTCCTCAAGGGCAAAAATGCGCTTAAATGAAAAAATAAAAATCTTTGTGTGGTGTTGTGGAAAAATACGTGTGTGAGTGTGTGTGTGTGTGCGTGTGTGAGAGCACTGTGATAAGTGGCGCGGGCCCCACAAGTGAGATGTATCCCACTGATTTCTAAAAGGTCACTGTCATTATTGTTGCCTGGCAACCGGCCATGGGAAGCCATCAAGGTACAGTAACTTTGTGTGTTTGTGTGTGTGTGCATGTGTGTGTGTGTTAAGATTTGGAAATAAACGTTGGAGAAATTTTTCTTTGAAGCGGAATGAAAACCCAACATTTTCAAGCAAGAATACTTTGGAACGTGTGCAACTGTTGTCACAGGAACATCACGCTACTTGGGGATAGTCGAATGCGATTGCCTTTCCCTTTCACAAGGTAATTTTCTTTCTAATCTCCAGAGACAACCTCCTTCTTACATTTCCTCTGGTCTATGTTAAGTGTGGTCTACACCATGTCCCCAAACAGCACAGTGACAACTTGTCACCTTTTAATTGGGAGCGACTGACTGCATACAAGTTTGTAGACGCCCGTCATGCTAATCAGAGGGCATAGCTGAGTTGAAAATGTCTTTTATCATCGTACCATCATTTTTGTCCAGGCCTGTTTCATGTGTTTTTTTTTTTTTTTTTTTAAGAGATTCTGTTCAACCACAACCCCAGTCACTCTGGAAAGCGTTCTTCCATCGCAGTAAAATAAGGAACTTCAAAGTCACCTTTCTACTCATTCCCCCCGGCACCAGAATTGAACAAAAATGGTACGGTCCAGGCACCAGGATGTAAAACAAGGTAAGACCAGATTTTCAGGACGGCGCCCCCAAGAGGAGGTGCGGTACGGCGTTAAAGCCGCACCACGGCATGTACACAAGCGCGTTGATGTCTGAGTCATGTCCTATTTGTGGAGCGTGATGGATCCCCCCCCCCGTACCCCCCC